AGGGCATCTTAATCTATTCAGTTTTATAACATAACCAAAGTAAAGCGCGCGCTCAGATTGGTCAATTTAGCGTCCCCCATTTGCCCATGGGTGTACGCTGCTGACTATTTTTCCGCAGGCGCTTCTGTTTTCTGGTCACGTAATATTTGTTAAATAAAAAGAACTCTTTAGCCACAATGTATCAATGTGATGTTATAAAACAAATGGTAAACACCACAGCGTACACTATTGAGTTATGTATGCACGCGGGACGTTTGCTAAGCACGAAACCTGTTTTAATAAGCGGTCACCAATAAGGAGTGAGCGAGCGTTGTTCTATTGACGATTACTACAGGTCTGGTCATCAAAAGAAAAAAAGTAAGCTGTGGTACACGTTAAGGAAATACTTCTGTCACCCCTGTAAGCTCTCACAGCGTTCTTTTACTCTCGATATATAATAAGTGTTTTCCTTTTTAGTTCCTTATCTTATTTTGTTTTTGCTGTTGTGGTTGTTATTGTAGAGTTGCGATGACGATAAAATCACAGAGCTACGGGTTAAAACTACATCAGAACTCTATTAATTGTGCAGTTCAGGTTTATGTCATAACTGCGTTGCCACGAGGCACGACGGTGTTCTTTTTTTACTTGGCGATCACATGTCTATAGTCACGCGTGTCACGCCACAGTTGTTATCACTTTTGTTAAAATCTGTCAGAGCTTATCGAATATATTTAGGAAAATGGGCGGATATCGGTAACCTTGAGTTTTTAGTTTTCAAAATTATCGAAGACTTTTCACCATGGGAAAGAGAAGATATTAAAGTATCTAGGCCAAATATTGGAATTTATTATCAAACTACACTTAGACGAGTACAAATAACGCCATAGACGAGTACAGATATCACGCGGTATTTGTATTCGTCTTCTGTAGAGTACCGGTTAAACAGGTTTTCTCGCATCGCGCAAGCGAAGATTTGGATTGTAGTTACGAAAAAAAAAAGTGGCGGACAATTTGAATCATATTTCCGACGAAGAAGAGTCAGAATGGCTGGCAAATATAGATCCAAGTTTATAGATCCAAGAAAAACAGCTTGACGACCAGAAAATTTCTTCATTTAATGAAGAAAATAGAAACAGCAACACAACGCGCCAATTCCGTTCCGCTTCGCATACTTCTGTCACGCACTCCTCGTAAATAAATATCCGCGAAATTCGCCCGCACTGAAATAACAGTTTGGCGTGTTGGATAATAAATAACTTATTAGACGTTTTGTTGTGTAGTATCGCTGAGTATTTTTACTCGTTATTTGTATTTTGACTCGCCCTACGGGCTCGTCAAAATACGGCACAACTCGTAAAAATACTCAGCGATACTACACAACAAAACGTCTAATAAGTTATTTATTATCCAACACGCCAAACTGTTATTTCAGTGCGGGCGAATTTCGCGGATATTTATTTACGAGGAGTGCGTGACAGAAGTATGCGAAGCGGAACGGAATTGGCGCGTTGTGTTGCTGTTTCTATTTTCTTCATTAAATGAAGAAATTTTCTGGTCGTCAAGCTGTTTTTCTTGGATCTATAAACTTGGATCTATA